GTTATTTTAATTAAAAAACCATAAATAGGGCCCCATTATAAAACATAAGCCAATGTATGTATCCTTTTTTGTTTTAGAAGATGATTTCGCTATTTTAGAGATAGAGAGCAGGTGTGCTCTCTAGGAGTTCGCAACTGTCCCCACAACTGGGATATGGAACAGTGCCATCACCCAGATTCCCTCTAGACACCACTTTATGGTTAAGCTCTCTCCATCCCTAACCCTAGCAACCCTGATCTGTTCTTCATTGTTTTCTCTGTAGACTTTAAAACATTCTTATACTTGAATTAATATTCTTTTAAAATTTTTTTATTTTTTTTTAAATTGAGAGAGAGCGTGAGCGAGTTGGCTGGAAGGGGCAGAGGGAGAAGGAAAGAATCTCAAGCAGACTCCCTGCTAAGCAGGGAGCCTGACCAGGGCTCGCTCTTGGCACATGAGACCTAGAGTTTGACACTCAACTGACTGAGCCACCCAGGCGCCCCTAATGTGTGTATTTTTTTTTATGATTTTATTTATTTATTTGACAGAGAGAGATCATAAGTAGACAGAGAGGCAGGCAGAGACAGAGAGAGAGAGGGAAGCAGGCTCCCTGTCAAGCAGAGAGCCCGATGTGGGGCTCGATCCCAGGACCCTGAGATCATGACCTGAGCTGAAGGCAGCGGCTTAACCCACTGAGCCACCCAGGCGCCCCTAATGTGTGTATTTTAACAGAAATTAACACGGGGGTCTTGAAAGAAAATCTCGTAGCAGACACCACTTTCAAGTTCTAGACACAAAGCCAACAGCGAGGGCGCCTCATTCAACAGCAAGACGACCGTCCCAATAAATAAATTTTGAGATCACACACACAGCTAACAAGGGGACATCATGGTATTTTCTGGATACCGCTGGAACCCATGAATTCAGGGGGCATTAATTTCTTTAATACAGCTTTCTCTGGGGCACCTGGATGGCTCAGTTGGTTGAGTGACTGCCTTCAGCTCAGGTCATGATCCTGGAGTCCTGGGATGGAGTCCCACATCCGGCTCCCTGCTCAGCAGAGAATCTGCTTCTCCGGCTAACCTCTCTCCTCTCATGCTCTCTCTCTCTCTCTCAAATAAATAAATAAAATCTTTTTTTTTTTTAAATACAGCTTTCTCTGTAAGGGGGAAAACCAGCATCCCCAAACGTTCGTGATGTGGTCATGTTGTACGGGGGACCCCACAAGCCATTAGGCAGGTCATCCTGAGGATACTCAGGAGTTTGTTGTAAATTAGGAGTCCGCAAACTCTCTCTGTGTTGGGCCAAAATATAAATATTTTTGTGGGCCATGAGACTGCAACTATTCAACTCTGCCGTTAGGGCACAAAAGCAACCCTAGATGATGCCAATAAAACTTTATTTATAAAACCCGTGTGGGCAGGCAGGAGTGAGCCTATGGGCTGTAGTTTGCTGGCCCCTGTTCTACATGAAGGAGTTTGACTATATGAATTCAAAACTGGGCTGAGAGAAGATGGCACCAGGGACTCTATGAAGACAGAGCGAACATCTGAACCCAGGAAGGGAGCAGAGATGGTGGAGAGCGAGCCGGGGCTGGGGAACATTCTGCAGGGGACTGCGCCTTCCTGGCTTCCAGTGGGGAGGGAGTAGGCAGTGGCAGACCCAGAGAGATCAGCTGGGGTGAGGGGACCAGAGACACACTCAGGAGGTGAGAGATTGCCTTCACTAGAGCCATCGGCAAAGCAAAGCGATGGAGACACTAGCCGGATAGCTGTGGGCAGTGTGGTGGATGAGAGGCGAGAGGGAGGCTGGGCACAGGAAGGCTGGAGGTGGGTGGTGGGCAGTGGGGTTCAGGGAGTAGTGCATGTTCGTAGGCTGGGAAGGGAGAGGCTCTGGGGCAGATGGAAATCCCAGTACAGAGAAGAGAGCAGGAACCCAGGAGAAGTGCCCTAGACGAGGGAAAGGTTATCTCCCTGAATGCAGTCATTCTCAACTAGGGACAGCTGGCAATGGCCAGTGATTGTCATGACTGGAGAGAGGAGATGCTACAGCACGTTGTTGGGGAGAAGAGACCAGGGATACAGCTCAAAATCTCACAATACACAAGACAGCCCCCCACAGCCAAGACCAATCTAACCCCAAATGTTAAGAGCACTGAAGCTGAGAGCTCCTCCTCTAACCAGATCAAGAACGGAAGTCAATAATGGTGTGGAGAGCAGTGGAGGCCCCTGGGAGCTCACCCCCATGACCTCTATGAGTGAGCAGGGCAGGGATGAGGGGTAGGGCTCCAGGAGAGACACGTGAGGTTAAGAATAACCTCAGGGAGGTTACTGAGCAGGCAGAAGCCCTGATCTGGGGGCCCCAAGCACGCAAGAGAACCCACTGGAGAAACATCGGGGGCCACTCTTGAGAAATGAGGGACACCTGAGAGACAAGGGGACTCTGGAAGCAAGGCTCTCACGCCTCAATCGGCCACCTCGCTGGACTCCCCCAAAGCCCTGTGGGTTTTTAGTTTAATTAATCCCACATTGCCTTCATTCTTTAACTTTGCAATGCCCCCCCCACCCCTCCACTCCCAGTAATGTCAGGTCACAGCCACCCAGTCCGAGGAGCAATGTGGGGGGGAGGGACGGGCACTGCTGACCAGCTAAGCAGCACAGCAGGGACTCCATGGGACAGTGGCCATCTCCAAGAAAGTCCTTCACTTCTGAAAAAATCACACCACCACCCCCCAACCCCCAGGCCAAAATGCCCTGACGGTTGACATGAGAGATTAATGATCTGTAAAGTTTCTCGAAGTTTCCAAACCTCCGAGGGGCATCACATCTCATTGAGTTGATAGGATTTTGTTAACCATTACCACCGGCCAGGGGAAGGGAAGCTCGAGCCCAAGAGAGCAAACTTTTATTAAGAAACCCATGCTCTAAAAAAAAAAAAAAAAAAACAGAAAGGAAGAAACCAAATGGCCTCACCTGTGAGAAGAGAGCATAAACGCTGCCTTATAGGCGTTGAGGATTAACTCAGGTTATATATTCAAAGCATATGGAAGCACACCCGCCACGAGTTTGCCCGTATTCGTACACAGTGGTTGGGAATTATCTAAGAATAGGAGAGCCATGGCTTGGAGCACTGGTGAGAGCACAAAGAATATGAACAGACTCAAAAACAAATATTTTCACCAAACACCTTCTACACGCCAGGGACTGTTCTAGGCTCCGAAAATGTCGCCATGAATGAAAGAAGCATATGCCTCTGGGGCCCTTGGGGGAACTGTATACATGTAAAGAAGTGACCAATTAATTACCAAAGCTACAAGGAACAGAAGAGCAGGGAACCACACGCATGCACGCACGCACATACATACACAAAACCTGGAAACGATCTAACCTTTGTCTTCGATTTTCTTTTTTTTTTTTTTAAGATTTTATTTATTTATTTGACAGAGAGACAGAGAGAGGGCATGAGAGGGGAGAAGGTCAGAGGGAGAAGCAGACTCCTTGCTGAGAAGGGAGCCCAATGCGGCACTCGATCTAGGGACTCCAGGATCATGACCTGAGCCGAAGGCAGCTGCCCGACCAACTGAGCCACTCAGGCACCCTGTCTTGGATTTTCTTAATGAGAACCCAAGCCAACTGTCACCTTTACTGAGTGCCCACTGTATACCAAGCACTCGGGCCTTGGAGCCATTGTGTAACAGAGAGGAGCTCAGCAAATATGCGTTGTCAACTCCAGAGCCCGTGTGTGCTTTCCCAGGGACCTCATTCGCCGGCCCCAAGCTCAGGAGCTGTGGTTCCTTCCCTCCCCGACCCCTTCCTCACCAGGACTGATTTCCTTTTATGGAAAATTCTGAAAAAGTAACCCAACAGATATTTTTAAAGGAGGGCCTCAGACACCAGTAGGAAACTTCAGCCATGTTGTCCTAAAGAGTTCTTCATTTCTTGGCCCGCCCCCAGAACGGACTGCTACCAAGCCCAGGGAGGATGCTGGGGCTGGGGTTTGCCTCCATCCGCTGCCAGCCCAGAGAGGCCCAGGAGGGAAGTCCGTGGGGCTAGGAGCTTTGAGAGGCTCAGGTGAGGTTAGAGACCTCCCTGGGTCGACAGGTAAGAGCTGGGGGTGGGGAGTTGTGGGGGTTTGGGGGAGACATGGGACATCCAGCAACAGTCAAGAACCTCACCAGGGCACCATACAGAAAGGTTCGAGTTCTCCCTCTGGCACTGACTTTAGGGCAGGTCGAGCTGTCTCCTACCTGAACCTCAGTTTACTCTTCTGTGAAATGGGCAAACAGTGTCAACCTCTGCAGGCCATGGTGAAGGTGTAGAGAAATAAGCCCATGGCATCTGGTGACACTATAATAATCACAATAAAGACACCCCTACTTCTACTGAAACAAAGGCCCCGTTGCCAAGGCGCTAGAATTTGCCTCCGGACATCTGGAAACAGAACCCCAAAGTGTAAACACGGATCTGAAGTCCCCAATAGCCCCGGGCCTAGATCCAGAGAGGGGGGGGGTCAGATTCTACAATTCTCCCTGAGGAGCACCTATGATCAGGGACCCCAAGGGACCCTCAGTCCTGTCACCCTCGACTCTCGCTCCAAACCCCGTGCGCCCCTGGCACTTGACTGTCCAAGGCCGCACGGCCCCAGGGACCCCACTTTACAGAGGACCCGAAGAGGACGCGTGTCGCGTCTCCGGAGCGAGGTGGGCTCGGAGAGGACTAGGCACGGTCCGAGGCGCGCTTGGGAGAGGCACCCGCGGCGGGGCGGGCACTGGGGCAAGGTTCCTCCGGCCCGGGGCCCGCACACGGGGCGCGGAACCGCGAGCCCAGGCGGGCAAAGGCCAAGGTCAGCGGCTTCCCGCCCCGCGCGGGGCCGAAGCTACCGTCCCGGCCACCCGCACCACCCCACCCCACCCCCACACGCACCGAGGAGGGCTCTGGGTCCACGGCGGTGGGCTCCATTTTGGCAAGGGGTCCCCTCCCCACCGAGCGGCTCCCCGCCCACTCCCGGGCCCCCAGACTCACCCTCTCCAGGGTACAGGTGGCCCGCGGCACCCAGCAGCAGCGCGGCCACCGCCACCAGCAGCGGCGCGGTCGCCGCCCCCCGCCCAGCCCCGGCGCCCATGGCTGCAGGAGCGCGGGGTCCCGGCGGATCAGAGCGCGCGGCGCCGGCCCGCGGGGGTCATGCTCCGAGGCGGCCGCCCGAGCGGCGCTGGGGGACGCGCGTCCTTCTGTTCCACGCGGGCGGCCAGCCGGCCGCAGCCCCTCCCGGGAGGGCCCTAGAAACAACCCTAGAAACAGCCCCAGCAGGGGCGCGGGGCCTCGGCCTCTACAAATCCGGCAGCGCCGCGGTGGAGGCGGCCCCGACCCCGAACCGCCGCGGCCCGGGCCCCGTCCCGCGATCTCCCGGCCCGGAGCCCCTCGCTGCGCCCCGGCCGCCCGGCTTTCGGCCCAGAGCGCTCTGGGCCACGATCTGCGCACGGTGAGACAGACGCGCGGACGGCCGGGCGGGCACCTGGGCAGGCGAGTGGCGGGCGGGCGGGCGGCGGGAGCGAGGGCTGCTCGGCCCGTAAACAACGCGGCCCGTCAGCTGGGCCCCGTGCGGGTCGCGGGAAAAGGCGGCGCGGATCGGGACTGGGAAGGGACTCGGCGCCCGGGAGAGGCCGGGAGGGGTGGAGGGAGGACCGCGAGAGGGAGGCGCCGCCCCACCCCGCCCGCCAGCCTCCCCACCCCGGGCCCCAGCGCTCGAGGGCCCCCGGCGCGCCCTGGCCCAGGGGGCGCCCCGACACCCCGCGACTCGAGTCTCAGAGTTTGGGGGCGCCCCAGATGCCCAACCCATCGAGACGGATCCCTTCTTTAACGTTTTTGCTATTTCATTGCCTTGGACTTGGGGAGGTTCATCTTGATTTTTAAAAATATTTCATTAAAATACTGTTTATCTTGGTCACTGGGTTTTTTGGTACTCCCTTAAATGTTGCACTCGCGTCACCCTCGTCCCAGTCCTGCCAGCGCGTCTCGTAGTAGACGCGCGGGCGCCCCCGCCCAGCGCCCGGGCCCTGGAGACAGCCACGTGCACGCGCGCCCAGTGCGCTCAGTGTCTCCGTGGCAGGGCTGAGGGAGGGTGCCTTAAGCGCGGCCTGTGGTTCAAGTTGGAGAAAAGACACCTGGGAGAAGGTGCAGAATCTCACGGAAGGGCAAACCAGGCCCCACAGAGCCCGGTTACCGCACAGGTGGACACACCCGCTTTCCAATACACGGACCCAGAGTCCGTGTGTGTCTGAATGTCTAGCAAATGTCGTTCACAAATGGGGCATGACAGCGGCCAACCCACCTTGAGGGGCGGGAGGGGAAAGAGAAGGAGCCTTAAGACTAGAAAGCCAGAACCGAGTGGAATCGGGGTCCCTCTCCACTCACTTCCTATGCAGTCTTGGACGTGGGACACTCTCTCTCTCTTTCTCTCTCTCTCTCTCTGGGTTAGCCTACTCTCTGTGATGGTAACCATACCTGCAGGTCAGATCTGACAAGAGGCAAGAACAATAAAGCATGAGAAAGCACACAGCACAATTTCTAGGCAGAGGGCGCTCATTCTTCCTCCGATCCATTAAACAAATACTAGTTTGCCAGGAGCTCAGCCCACTGTTCTCTAACCCACCAAACCTACTCCCGGCCTCTGGCTCTTCCCTCTCCTGTCCCTCTAGCATCCGGCCCCACCTCTGTGCTCCAACGCGCCTTCCCCGACCACCCTTTGCAAATGCCTCCCCCCTCATCCCTTTGTCCCCTTCCCTGTTACTGACATCACACCAGCACCTCCTGAAATTCTTTGGGTTTTCTGTGTATCTTCTCCCTTCCCCACTAAGCAGAAATTGTGGGGATCTTCTTCAGCATGTTACACCCAGTGCCTGACCTAGGTGGTGCTTAATAAATATTTGTTGAATGAAAGAATCAACATACAATAAGTAATGAGGATTTACAATGAGCAAAATAAACACGCTAGGTTTCCTTGTAGACCTCGTAGTCTGGGGGGGCATTAATTAAACAACCCTGGGGGGCATAAAGTGGGGTGTGGGTAGGGGGTATAGGGATGGATCCTCCAAGGAAGTGAGTTTGGGCTGGAATCTGAAGGTGAGGAGGAGTCAGCCAAGGAAGGAATGGAAGGGTTCCAGGTGGGGAGACCAGGATGAGGGGCCGAGGGGAGGACAGGCATATCCAGGCACAGAGAGAGAAGGGATGGTGGACTCAAAGTCAGGGCTAGAAGGGGAAGAGCCTTGAATATACCACGTTAAGCCCCCTTCCAAACCGCCTTTATCCTAAAAGCAATGGGGAGCCACTAGAGGGTTTACACAAAAGGGCTCACATAATCTGATTTTCTTTCCGAGAATCTTTCATCCTGTGCCATGAGGCAAGCATGGACCCAGGGATAACAAAGAGAAGGTAGCTGCAGTCCCAGGGTATCAGGAATTATGGGTACAACAGTGTTCTCCTTCCTCCTTGTGCAAACCTGTCCAGAGCTGTGGGCTTCCCTCGGATCCACGGGATCCCCCAAAAGCCACCACAGTTCCGGGTGGGAAGCGCGTGCTGAAAAACACGAGGAAGGAAACACTGAGAAATCCTCTGGAAATCCTCTGGATTCCTCTGGAAATCCTTCAGGACACAGGACTTGTGTGTTGGATATAAGACAAAAGAATCATTTCAGTTGTAACTTGGAAATGAACACCTGCCACTTCCTGAAACCACTTACTCTTTCTTTTGTTAAACCCCCCAGCTCCCCCCCAAAAAAACAGTCATCTAAAAATTGAAAGTCAACCTCTGCCTTTTAAACAGCTTTGGAACAGAAGCAGAAAAACCAGGCTTTGGCATTTTCAAATGATTGATTCAGGCAATAACGATCTGCAAATGTCAAAACTGATGGTTGGGGGGGGCGCCTGGGTGGCTCAGTCAGTTAAACGTCTGCCTTTGCTTCAGGTCATGATCTCAGGGTCCTGGGATCGAGCCCTACATCAGGCTCCCTGCTCGGCAGGAAGCCTGTCTCTCCTTCTCCCTCCAACTGCTGCTCCCCCTGCTTGGGTTCTCTCTCTTTAAAATAAATAAATAGGGGCGCCTGGGTGGCTCAGTGGGTTAAGCCTCTGCCTTCGGCTCAGGTCATGATCCCAGGGTCCTGGGATCGAGCCCCACATTGGGCTCTCTGCCCAGCAGGGAGCCTGCTTCTCCCTCTCTGCCTGCCTCTCTGCCTACTTCTGCCTACTTGTGATTTCTCTCTCTATCAAATAAATAAATAAATCTTTTTAAAACTTAATTAATTAATTAATTAATTAATTTAAAACCCTGGTGGTTGGAGTTTTGAGAAGTAAAGGAATATTTCCATGGTCTCCAAGTATCTCTCTGCAAGATACCTGCCAATGACAAAGGAAAGGAAAAACAGTAGCTTCATAGAGAAGAAAGCTGGCAGACATCACCTTAATTAAGTGATCAAAGTTGCTTCTGGATTTTCTGTTGTCAGGTAAGACATTACCGGGACAACTGGGGAGGACTGAAAAAGGTCCATCAACTATACAATAATAGTAAATCAATATTGATTTGATCATTGTACGGAGGCAATGTGGGATAATGTCTTTAGTTTTAGGAAATACATATGGAGGGGTGCCTGGGTGGCTCAGTAGGTTAAGTGGCTGTCTTTGCCTCAGGTCATGATCCCAGGGTCCTGGGATTGAGCCCTGAACCAGGCTCCTTGCTCAGCAGGGAGTCTGCTTCTCCCTCTCCTACTCCCCTCCCCCCACTTGTGCTCACTCTCTAATAAATTAATGAAAAATCTTTTTAAAAAAAGGAAATACATACTAAATGAAATATATAGGGATAAAGGGGCAGAATGTCTGCAACCAACTTTCAAACCATTTAAAAAAAAAAAGACAGAGAAGGAGAGAACAAAGGAGATGTGATAAAGTTTGACAAAATTTGTAAATCTGGCGAAGAGTGTGGACATAGAGATTTGCTGTACTTTGCATGGAGTCTAGCATCATCTCAAAATCAAAAGTTTTAAATTTTGAAAAACTATTTGGGCTGGCCGCTTAGTTGGTAGAGTACATGACTCTTGATCTCAGGGTTGTGAGTTCAAGCCCCACGTTGGATGTGGAACCTACTTTAAAAAAACAAAAAACCATTTGGGGCTTTTTATTTCACTTTGTTTTTGTTAGCCTGGCTTTGGTTTGACATTTAAATACATTGTACTCAGAACTGTATGATCTAAAGAGAAAGAAATCTTGGTTCATTGTTCATGCATATAGGCAATGAACACTTTTTTTGCCCATCAAAGGGCACTTGGGGAGACCTTACCATCAACCTGCTGGGGGCCTTCTCTTAGCAGGTCCTTCTGGTGCAATCATCTTCAATCTAGCTCTTTTCCATTTCATTGAAGCAGGAAAATAAATGTAAATCCAGACTCCTATGTTGTCATGGAAACCTGCTTTAATACATTACGCTTAGGAGTCAGGAGGCAAAAAGGAAAAAAAAGTACAGACTGAGTTCATTTGAGAATAACAGTGCAAAAACTCAGCATGGAGAATTTACTAACAGAGCCAAGCAAATTAAAGCGCGCGCGCGTGCGCGCACACACACACACACACACACACACACACACACACTCACACAGCACCAACAGCAGGATCAAGTGGAACCAAGAATGCAAACATGGTTCAATGCTGGGAAGTCTAGCCATCGAGATCACCGTTCTAATAGATCAAGGAGGGAAGTCTCATGACCCCCACGACCAAACTACAAGTGTATTTGATGAATTCCGCAGCCATTCACAAATGAAACCGTAAGACGTTACAATGTGGAAATATTGTTTCAGAATTTCAAAGTAGAGAGTATCTCATTAAGCAAGGCACAAGTTCCAAATCTAAAATCCAAAAATAACAAATTTGGCTATGTAAAAACAGATTATATGAATAGCAAAAAAAAAATCATACACAAGGTCAAAAATCAGATTTGTAAAAGTGAGAAAAAAAATTTAAGTGAGAAAAGATTAAATGACAGATAAAAGACAAGCATTATACTACATTACAAAATATACAAAACATAGCATTTCTTTTTTAGTGAGATAAAACCCCAAATTCTTGTTTGCCACAATTTAAATGGCAAAGGACGTGAATAGACAGCTCACAGAAACAGACCTTTGAAAGGAAAAAAAGAAAATACAAAAGGGATTTAAACATAAAAGAGGATGTTCAGCTTTCTTCATGCTTATAGATATGCCCACAACACCTTCACTGAATTTGCCAACAATCAGAAAAACAGGCAAACACAATATGAACATCTGTGAGAAAGCAGACACTCTTGTAATCACTGGTACAAATCAGGTCAATCAATGGGAGGT